ATAGTATAATATAGTATAGTATAACATAGTATATTACACCACCGAAGCTTTCAAGATGCCGCTGTCGACGTTCAGGGTCGACCTGATCATGATTACACAGGAATGGGGCATGGCTGAGCGGCATGAATTTGTGCTTCTTCGTTTAGCAACAGTAGTCCCAAGTACGATTACACGGACGACTTAGGGAGCTGTGCAAACATTCAGCCGACTTGAGTGAACCGGTGTTTTGTATTTTTCTCGCACGAGACTTGAACAGTGCTTGGTGTTCCGGATTTGTTGGCCTGGCAAGGTTGCATGGGCCGCCGGTTACAAGAAGTCTACTGTTGTCATGTTGGCATGGTGGACTTCATGTGAACCGCAGCCATGATCCGGCTGTCAAGATGTTGCCGCCATGCAAGTTTTGAAGGAAGCCGAGCGGTCATCAGTGCAGAAGCTGTTTCTATCCTCTGATCGGTGACCGACCCGAGACATGGGCACCTGCACCAGCAAGGGCCACGCCGTTGTGCCAGTTTCTCTTCACAGGCTCGTTTCGACCGCAAGTCTTCACAGAGGGTGGGTGGCATACTTTAGGATGGTCTCCAACTGGAGAGAATCATAATCTGTCAAGCAAATGATGCGCCGGGGGCTGTTCCGATTGATGACATCAGTCATTGTGTTTCCAACCTGAACTACAGTGAATCGGGTTGTGACCCATCAAGGTTCAAGCCCGTAGGACGGCACATGAGCCCTGAGTTGTCCTGCAGGAAGGAATGCCCGATGTGGTTGGTGCATGTCTCCGATGTCTTGAAGATGTCAGGAGCTCCTTTGCCTCACGAGGAGACAGCAAAACCCATTTTTCGCATTCACCAGATGTCATGGTAAACCTTGAGTCTCCTTTCCACTACAACTTGTTACCAACATGCATAGGTGCTTCAGCCATGTTAGTGAGCGTTTTGAGGATTTTTTGTCGAACGGACTCCGCTGTACATGCTTTTGCTTGAGTAATCATAGCCTTGGAGGAGCTGCGCAACTCTGGGCTGCTGAGACAGCACGAACCGCACCTCTTCACCATTTTCGTCTCTCACCAATGGTTAGGCAGGTTTCGGGGTGCTTCAACAGAGTTTCCGTCGGCTTAAAATAGCTTGGGGGTTTAGAATTACAAGAAGGAACCCTCCAAGACCCAATTCTAATTATTAAGGCCCCTATATTAGTATGTGTTGTGCGTTCAGGTCTCGGGCTTGGACTGGGCTAGGCAGAGTTCAGCTAACCTGAAGCAGCATCAGACGCCCCAGGAGGACAGAGATGAATAAGAGGCGTCAGTAGTGTTCCCTGTTTGCATGGCGACACGACGTTGCGAGGCCGCTCTCATCCTGACGAAGAGGGTCTTCAGCTCACGGTGCTTCGCAGCTTGCTGCAGCGCCTCATCGACGGCCGACAGGCTCTGCAGGAGGAGAGTCCAAGGCTTTGTACTGTTGAAGCCGTTGTAGCCGTTGGTCATAAAGAGTATTGGTCGTTGATGTTGTTGCTGGTATTGGTGGCTGTGGCATGAATACTGCCAGTAACAGGCAGGAGCAGTGGTTGTAGCAGTGGCAGCGGTTGTAGAACCAGTCGTCGGCCTAGCAGAAGCTGACGAAGCAACAGCATGAGAGAGCAGTCCGGATGCACGGCGGCTGCAAGCACATGTCCTGACGACCTCATCACGCAGTGTGTCATCGGGCAGAGGAAGCTTACAGCGACGGAGCGCTCGCAACTGAAAGATGCTTATATTTGGATGGACTGGTTTTCAATTCCACAGGATGTGGCAAAAGACTCGGGCTCATTCCATGCAGCTGTGGCATCCATTCCGTATTACGTGGAGTCCTGCAATTTGTTCGTGGCTTTGGTGCCCCCATTGCAGCACAGCTCTGGGCAGCCGTGCAATTACGGCTCGTACTTGCAAAGGGGCTGGTGTCTGGCAGAAATGTGGTGTCGGCAGCTGGGTTGTAAGGCGGACATGCCCATCGTTGTTGCGTTCAACTGGGACCATGCAGAGTTCATTATGCCAAGGGACTGGGTGCGGCAGTTACCACTCGAGGGTGAGTGGTCGGATCCATCAGACAAGGCTAGGGTCAGAGATTTCCTGCTGATGTCCTTGGAAGCCAAGATTCAAGTCTTGGAGAACTCCAACGAGACAGATCTTTGTCGCTATTTGAAGGCACGGATCCAAGAGTTCTTGGGCCTTGCCAGTCCCAGACGCTCGGTCGGATCCTTCCTCGCTCATTTCGGTTTTCAGTCGGAAGAGGAGGCCATTCGGCAGCGAAAAGGTATGGGCCCAGTCGCTTGTGCGGTGTTAAGTTGTGATATGGATGCGCTACGCCACTTTGCGGGTGCCGGTGCCCCATTCACCACCCGATTGCCACTGATGCTTCTTGGTTCATGAGGGTCAGATTTGCTTGAACCTGGAAGCAAAGTCCCTCCTTAGCCAAGTTTACAAGCTCAATCCTTAAACCCTAAGCCTCTACTACCCCTGTAAAACCTGACAGCACTCGTGTCCTCTAAGGTATGAGGTGGATCAGATGGCTGGCTACACGCCCCTTCACCTTGCTGTGCTGGTTGGGCGCCGGACTCTGCTGCCGTTGGAAGAGCTACTCCGCCTACGTGCAGACCCCAATACCAAGGAGAGTCTCGAGGTTTTGCTTTGATCATGACAGTAATTCTGCCTAATATAGTACCCTAAATAGTAGGATCCTTACTATAAAGGACCCCAAAATAGGGTACCCCTAATTTTCGGAAACTCCCATGGGATGCATCCAGCATTGCCAGTCTGGAGACGCTTTTGACAATTGAACATCGCAGCCCCGCCGCCCTGGAAGCATCCTAGTCTACAGGGGCGCAACGCTCAGGCAAGACATCATAGTGGGCAAGTCAAGCCTAACAACCCGCAAGCGTTCTTGCCAACATAATCAGCATCACCCCCTCCATCAGAGGAGTTGTCGTAATCGCCACCATAATGGTCTTTGTTGTCGTGGTCACCCCACGTTTGGCGCGCTTCACGGCCTCGGCATGTTTGGATACTAGCCGGGGACGCCTGATAGACAGAGCATCTTATTGAATCGATTGTCGTGAAGCAGGTGGAGTGCTTTTCAATGATGTCCAGACGCTACCTTCGTCATCAATAAAGCGGATGAACTGCCGTCCGAGCTTGTAGCACATGGAAACCTGTCCGGGCTTGCAGGCCATAGGATCGAGGGTTGAGAAAGCTGCTAGGTTTTCATGTTGGATCTGTCAAGGGGGGGGGGTTTCCACTAGGACTCCATGGGGGCACCGGTGCTGGGCACTTGTCGCTCCGTCGGGGCGGTGGAGCTTTTGCTACAACACCGAGCTGATGTCAACCTCTGCGGCTTACCCACCAAGGCGGGTCAGGAGTTCAGGGACGTTAGATGATGTTTGGGTGAGGGCCGATGCTAGGCAGAGTTTGGAGTTCCCCTTAACCTTGCATGGCTCGGGAAGGGTTGGACCATTTCATCTAGTTCTTCATGGGTTTGTAGTCGCCTGCGTAGAGCTCAGGCGACTCCGCTGACGAGAGCTTGTGCCGGTCTAGCTCCCAAATATGTGCTGGGAAAGCTTATCGACTCCAAGGCAGCGGCCTCCGCCACGGGTTTGTGAGGGTGGTTAGGGCTTAGGGCTTCGGGTTTCAGGCCCCAACGCTCGGTGAAGCCACCCTGTGGACAGGCAGCCGTCAATGGCTACAGCGCTGGTCTTACGACAACTCCTTTGGCCAACTTGGTGAGCTTCAGCAAGGACACCCAAGAGGATCAGGAGCTCGTTTCGTTCCTACTGCAGAAGAACGCGGATCCGAACTTTGTCCACGGCATCAAAGGCACTTGGAGGTTGCTGGAGCTGGGCTGTCGTGCGATGCAGCTCATGGGTAGGGAGCAGACGATGCTACGGTACTTTGGCGATGGAAGCACGACTCCTCTGGGCTATGCTGCTATAGCCGGGAATCCAAAGCTGGTGTCCTGCCTTCTGGCTGCCAGAGCAGACCCCAATCTGCGCAATCGCCGGGGAAATACGCCCGTGCAGCTTGCCCTCACGGCCAACGTGCAGAGCATATTTCGACAGACATGTGGGAGTTTCGGTCCTGCAACTGCCTGCAGCTTGCTTGACATGCCTGATTTCAACGAGGATGACCCCATAGTCGAAGTTTCCTTTTAGCATCGGCTCGGGTCTCCGGTTTTTTGAGCTAAGCATGAACTTGCTTTCGGGCTTGGTGGCCGCAGAGGCGTTTCCTAACCCGCAGATCTCTGCCATGAGCACTTGGGTCATTCCGTCGCCAAAGCGTCGGAGTCGTTGCTGCAGGTGAGCTCACTTGGCATTGAAATCATTTTCCTTGGCTGCCGGAGAGTATAGATTGGGATGGGAATGTGCTGATAGTAAAAGGTTGATAATCTGCGTATCATCGGCAAGATTGAAGGTCTTAGTTGTCGTCGTCATCGTAGTTGTTGCCGCAGTAGCATTCGCAGCAGTAGCAGCAGCAACAAGCTCGACCAGACTCCAGCAAGTGCATCCGGCAGCCATCGGACCTGAAGGCATGACCACCGGTCGTGTCCTTGTTTAATGTCCGATCCCAACTATTTATGTTCAATGGCAGGAGTGCTGGCGAAGCCAGACTCTTCAGCACACACGTTCCATGGCGTGGAATCTAACACTCGCGAGTGTATTTTGTCGTCTTGTTGTCCGTCTGTACGTAGCAGTGTCATAGCAGGACATAGCACCAGATTGGTTCAACGAAGTGTTGTTTGCTGGGTCCAAGCTGCTCACTTCGATAGAGACGATCCACAAGCGTTTTGTTGGATGAAGCACATTGGCGCATTGGCATTCAAGTGCCACCCCCTTCCATGGACAGTCCAGTGGACGCTTGGACCCTTCCGAATACGTTGTGCAACGAACGATTTAATCCGGGCTCCGGCTGCCACAGCGAAGATCAAAACCAGGTGTCGGCCTGCGACATGACGCTCAAGTCTTTCAAGGGTTGAATAACAAGGCTGGCAATTATTAGGCAGTTACAGTAAGATCAGCATCCTTATCCTCATCCTCATGCTCATCCTCCATGACCATGACCATGACTGTGACCATGACCACGACCATGATGATCACCATGATGATTACCATGACCATGACCATGACCATGAACATAACCACCACCAGTAGCGTCAGCATTAACAACCATCGGCAGTCAAGGTAGCTAGGTAGATAGTTGATGCAGAGAGCATCTGGTTGTGTCCATCAGGCTTTCATTGGGTGTGGGCGCGGTTTTGTGAGTGGTGGGAGGTCTTGAAGATACTGTAGCAAGGCTAACAGCGTCTGGGGGGTTTAGCGGTTTCGGGTCGAAACAACCGCAATTGGCAGGTTTTGGTGGCAACATAGAGCGTGGACACTGAATTAGAATGTGTGGAAGAATGTTCGCAGGCCAGCGATCGCCTGTGCAGTGCGAATGCACAAATGTTGAGTGACTGTGTGAGGTGCTGGAAGTTGCGAGCTAGTTCAGGGATTGGCGTCTGTTCTTCCTCCTTCTGCTCTGGACCCCACAGGTTCCTAGAGCAAATGCATTCACGGAACCTTTTCGGGCCTCTCCTTTTGGAAGAGCCTGGCCTGGCTGGACTCTTTCCCATGCTCCTTGTCAGAAGCGCCCTTGGTCATGCTGCCATTTCAGATGGGCCCCTTGCATGGTACACAGAAGAATGTTCCGCTCAAGTCCAAGTTCACATCCCGCCCCATCTGCTGATGGAGCCAAGTGGAGTTCAGACATTCAGAGTGTCTAAACCCTTGTTCCAAGTGTTGACATCTTGTTGCCTAAGCAATGGGCGCCTGTGGCCACAAGCCGATAGCGCAGGCGCCGTGGAAAAAAAGCACAGGTGACGACTTAATGGGGGCCTCTAACTCTAATCTCCGAGCCCGACGGATCAAAATCCTGAATCCTGGACCAAGCACCTTGAATCCTAAAGCTCGAGAGCCCGGACCGTGCCAGTGCGAAGACGAAAGCGAAGAGTCAAGCGCATCGGAGTCGCAGGCGCTGAGGTTTTGAGCATTTGACACCAGATTGGGGTTCAGGGGTCATGAGTGAAGGAGTGTTGAAATTTAGGGTCCACTTCCCAGGGGTGAGGGTGTGGGGTATTGAGGAGTTTTCCTGCTGTCGTCAGCTCCTTGTTGCAGTAACGTCAATGCTTGACGGTCTGTGCTAGTGCGACGAATTTGGCATTGGTCAGTACTTCACTGGGACCAATCGTGCTCGCGCTGTTTTGACAGGACGTGTGACACGGCAATGGAGCGTAATGCCTGGGAGTTATTCTGAAGGTTACCCTTGCTGCCAGGCAAGCGATTCTGAGACCTCCAGCTTAGCGGTGGAGAGTGGCGTGGCATTTTGTTGACCTTCTAGTGTTTAGATTTCGCGCCCTCGGTTGTGAACGCACAACTTCTGGCAAGTGGCAATGTAGAAGCGAACAGCATGAGCCGTTGTGTTGCCATCCTTGCCCACGGTGGCATATCCAAGGTGGGGATCCCGCTAGCTGTTGTGCCAGGCAATGTCACGGCAGTGCTGTCTGGCTGTTGTTTTCGTGCAGTTTGAAGATTGTTTTCGCAGACCATGGCAAGACCTTCGACAGGTACTGCTACTGGTTCAACTGTGGTGACAGCCACCATCGAGTGCGCCAAGTTGCGGGGGCTGGGGTTCTTCGAGCTGTGATGAAGCTCCGAAAGTGCTCTTGTTCTGACGACTCAACCACCATTGTGGTAGTTTGTGGCTACGCACATGACGACGATGCTGCTGCTGCCTCTTGCCCGACGAATGCGGTTGCTAAGTGAGGGCAGTTGGATCCCTGAGACCGTCAAGTCATGCCCGACGGAATGCGCCTTTACACATCCCAAACAGCCCTGAGGTAGGCCCTGGTATCTTCCGAGGGGATCTCTAGATGCTTCCGGACGGGAATCGAGACCACGTGGTGCAATCATCCCTGATTCTTGACCTTGATGGAGTGTTGCCATCCCCGAGACATCTACCTGAGCCTGAACTTCAGACCGAAACAGGCAACAAATAGCCTTTGCCAGAAGCACCAGACCAGCAAGCTGCAAGTCTTGAAGCCCCCGAAACCCTAAACCCCCAAGCGCGAGCCACCACACCCTCAAGTCTACCCATAGGCCCCATAGTAGTTCCTTTTTGGGGTTCATATTTAAAAATCCTATAAAGTAATCCCAAGAAGG